AATAAATATTTTTGGCGTTATTTATAGAAAGCATTAATAATGTAATAGTGCGCTATTTAAATCGTTTTTAATTTTTAATTTAAAAGATTAAAATTTCTTCACTAATCTTCATAACTGTCTCTGGACTGATTTAAAATATATTTAGAACTTTTTTCAAAAGTGACTACGTGCTACAAATTGAGTAAAGTAAGAGCTTTTTATCTTACATGTACTCAATAATTAAAACAATAACTGAAAGAGGGGGAAACTAAGAGGAAATTAATTGAAAACGGCGAAAATGTACAAATAAGTGCACATTGGAAAAATTTCAAGAGTATTACCATTTCTAAATTCACTTCCTTAACAAACTAATTTCTGTAGGTAATAAAAAATAGGTTTTATTTCGAAGACAGTGTTACTCGAAATTAGAAAAATTTTAATCTTCTCCATATCATATTTGCACTATCGATCAGATGAATCGCCACTGGCTAAATATTTATTGCAAATTATTAAACATCTTGTTGGATTTTATGAATCACAAAGTATAGAAATTTCAATACAAATAATTTAATATTGAATTTGTTGCAAATGGTATTTTATTAAAAGTTTCCATTTTCAGTGTGCCAAAAAGTACCATAAATACATAATTGCAAACAATATTTTTGTAATACTCGAATAGGAGCAGTATTTTGATAATGGCATACCTATTTTAATCTCACAGTGTATTTATTATTAAGCCGTATCCATTCTTAAAAAAAAACACATTTTAAATATCTCTGAAAATGGATAAATTTTTCAATGTTAATTTCATAATACTTTTAGTTTAGTAAAAACATAATATTACACTGAAAATTTTTTGAATAAATTATAAAATTTATGTACAACACAATTTTAGCCTTAACTAATACTTCTGTCCACATTAAGAAACCCTAAAATTTAAACAATAACTAAAATGTAATGATTAACCTATTTGATTTTATAACGTCATTGTTAATATCCACCGGGGCAACAATAATAATAATAATAATAATAATAATAATAATAATAACAGTAACAGTTATGTAAATGCAAAAGCAAGTAGTACACAGAACATAAAATTTGTGAAATACTCAATGTAAAAAGTTTGTCAGCAAAATTAAGAATAGTCTTGAGTATCGATAATTTACGTATTGCTTTTGTATCATAGCAGAATGGTAGGTCAAATGTATTTTTCTATGAAATACAAACTCTAAAAGTAATATTTATCTTATGTAATCTACGGGACTTGGTATATTAATTATTATTCAGGAATTTGCATTGGACAAACAAAACGAAATATTGATACAAAATGAGTTAGTTCTCAGTAATCATCATATATCTCCAAACATAGAGAAAAAAGAACACACAGCATTTGCTTTTCATCATTTTAAATAAGGCCACTATTTTCATTTTGAAGAAAAATCTATGAAAATATTTGATAACGAAATAAACTATTAAAAAATATTTATTAGTGGGATTTTATGTACTTATACAATCGGTATAATAGGTATAATCGCAAAATTCTAGAGATACCTAAATAAAAGATTTAATATAATAAAACAATTATTATTTTTTTCTTCTTGCTTATATTTTTATGTTTAATTAGTATTGGTAATAATTTGATATGTGTATGTGTTTTTTAAATAATTTTAATGTTTTTCAAAATAATTTTCAAATTTTTTCAACGTTGTGTTCTTATCTCTTGTAATATTATTCATAGCCTCAAGTAAGAAATAATAAATGGAAACGTTGACCTAATCAGGAAATAAAACATTTTTTGCTCTATTCACAACTACCATGCATCATTTGTGCAAAAATTAATTATTTTAATGAAATATATCTGTAATAGTCTTATTTTTAAAGACTCGAGGAACAATACTAAAACTTCATAACTATTATTTTCGTTAAAATTGAATTCACAAGAGAAAATATCTAGAAATAATTATATATATCGAAAATCACAAAGATTGAACACCGACAACGGTGACCCCGTAATCTCTGACCTTCTGTTGATTTAATGTGTTGTTGAAGTTGTAAACTAAAAACAACCTTTGCGCATTTCCTGGTCCCTGGGACTGCAACGAACAGGTGAAACGTCATGATATATAGGGGGTGTATCACAAATGTCAGAAGTTCATCCACTTTACCTTTGACCTTTCGAATAAACGTTACCGGCAAATTATCAGCTAAGTGGTGTAATTCGCAATTAGAGCACAAATATATTGAAAAATATTACGGATTTGTATATCGTTTACATCTGATATCTTTCTTTTAGGTATTTCAAATACGTATATGCAATCTTCTAATATGTGCTGCATTGTTTGAAAATTTTGCGTATGACAATGTAACTAAATTAGAAAAATGCTGTTAAAACGAAATAATTTTTCTGCTGTCGACTTCACTATGGTTGCTACTGTATTCCACGGCTTCAAATTTAGAAATGACTTGTCAATTTTCAAATGTTAAAATATTCCTGTCACATTTTAGGCTCTTTGTTACAATAAGTGGATTAAAAGTCCTTTACTTCAGAAAGTAATGTCTCTTTTTATAATTTTCATTTATTTAATTTCGTAACATATACCAAAGTCCAAGAAAAAAAATTAAGTTAATTATTAAAATAATCGATCAGTATATGAAATTATTGTTGCATAAAAATAAAAAAAGTCTTACATTGAAAAAAACATATAAATAAAAAATAATTAAAAAAAGAAATCTCACTACTAGTTTTGAAAATGAAAACAAATTTATATTCGAAACTTTAACTATTAGATATAGTTATCTACTTTTTCCGGTGTGAGATTTATACTTTGGCAAAAATAGTTTCATAAAAATAACATTTAAGTGATCCTTTTGGGACAATGGTTTATTTAACTAGCTTTTTCGTATGTTTCAAAATATCCAAACAAACAAAGAAATAACTAAACTATGCCTCAAATATATATGCTCCCCTAACAGAAATAAATTATGACAATTTATTAGCCTTGAAATAATTTGAATAAATATTTTTTTCAAAAAATATTTACTATTCCAAATACTTGCAAAAATTATAAATTGGTACAGAAATGTGTACTTCTAGATGTGCTAAATTAAAATTAACAATCAAATGTATTACTTTAAAAAGGAAGCTTTTAATCACGGTCATCATAATAGTTGGTAAAACTGTGAAAGGACCAATTCCGTATATCCATAAAAATTATTTAAATTATTTTTCAATGTTTCTTAATGTTATAATTCATTTCCGTTTTAAGAAAAGTAAAGAAAAATAAAAAGGAGACCGCAAAAGAGTGTTAATTAATAACGAGCATAGTAAATAATCATGCTACAATTTACAATACAGTTATAATAAAATTGTCAAATCAAAATGATGTGAATTATCATTATCAAATCAAAATTAATGTATACTGATGAATATTTGATTTGAAAAAAATTGCGAAATGATTGTAGAAGAAATATCTACATCTTGTTCGAGTTAACTAAATGTATCAGGCTAAATGCCTCCTGAATTTTATTTTATTAGAATAGACGAGAATTTTAATGCTAAACAAATAAATTAACATAAATATAATTTACAAATAAATGTAGTTTTTAACATATCCCCTAATTAAACTACGAACTTCTACAAGGTGTTTCTTGTTTCAAAATATAAGCTCAAATGAACTAGGAGTTAATTTTTATTTATTATGAAGACACAGCAGCTTGAAAGCGACGCGTTGATAATGATTTTTTTTAAATATCTTTTGAACCAGCATTAGTACCAATTTTTGTACACCTTTTTGCCACCAACTCCAATTTCTTTAGATTTCTGCAGCAATAGCCGCCTTAATAAACAAATTGTAAAATTTTTGTCTTCGTTCTACATAAATGTTTCTGAATATGACAGTTTAAGAGCTCTAAGAAGTCAAAAAAAATGCGAAAAATAAAATTTTAAAAAACCATATCTTGTGTCAAGAAACATTAAATTTGTTTTTTTATGTGAAGATTTCGTTAATGTGTGTTATCTCTAACAATTCTTACATAATAATATATTATTTTAGTCTTACTAGAAAACCACTTCCTTTAGTAATTGTTTTTAAAGCAGTAATATTTTTCAATTATCAACACTCTTCTATGCACCTTGAACCTTTTAAGACAAAAAAATATTTTTCTGCAGATAACTATGAATAAGTAAGTTCCACACAACTAATTTTTTCGTAAATGTGTATAGACTTGAATCATCGGTACCTAAAACGTCTTTCAAATTTGACACTCATTTAGACAATAAAAAAAATAGGTTTCTTTCCGTCAAACTGCTATAATAAGAAGTCAGAAATATAGCAAGGAGTCAGAACTAATTCATTTAAACTTTTCGTGTTAATTTTGATCAAGAAATATTCTAGAAATTTAACAATCGAACCCTATCTTATATTTATTATTGTTTCTAGATGGTGTAATCATATTAATTTTTTTTTTATATTTCAGAAATGTAATTTTATAATAAATTTTGCATGCTCATGTAAAATAATAAAAAATTTTGTTCAAAGATTTAAATAAAATTTGGACTATTAGAAATTTATTAAAATAAAAAAGGAATTGGGCTAAACATTTTCTTCAGACAAGATCCTATAGGAAAAAGGAAATTTAAAAATTATAGAAAAAAAATACAAGTCTGAATGAAGAAAATGAATAACATTTATCTTCACGTTGTGACTAGTAAGGTTACTGTTACTTCTCCATAATTTAGAAGAAGCTGACTGGATCATCAGAAAAATATGTTTTTAATTTATTATTGATTTTTTTTTATTTACTTTACTATTAACACACAACGGTTTTATGAAAATGTGCATGTCAAAGTTTTTTAAATATGTAGCTCTTTTGTGTTTTCTATGAATAAGTTTATTGTAAGTATCAAAGCAATTTGTGCAATATATAAATATGCTTACTTATAAGTGTGTTTCAAGGTTTCATCAAAAACAGATGTATTTAAAAAAAAGTATTCCCTAATAATATCAGAAATAAATACATACCTCTCTCATTTTTCCTGGCTTTGAGGATCTGCGCTCTTCTTCAAGGCATTTAAGTCCTAAAATATGAAAAAGTTTATTTAAATTTTATGCGATAAAACAAAGTTATGCAAACTATTGAAAAGTATAGTCGTGTTAAATAATAATTTTCGTTAATCGTCGGTAAACAATCGATTTAACCTTGCACCAAGCATACTCATCTTGCAAATTTCAACCTTACTCATTGTTATAATTCATAAAAACATAACCTAAAATAATTCCCAACTCCAAACGTCGCATTTTTTCAAAAAGTTCATGGAATTGCAGAAGATCTCTGGCTTGCATAATTCGATTTTAATAATCAGTGCAGTGATCAAAGCAGTTCCTGGAAAAATTCACCTGAGCTAACTTAACGAAAGACCCGAAACGGTCCCCACCGTGTTAGACTTATTTAATTCTGCACTAATATTAGTGCAAGGTTGAATTGCATATACTGTGACGTCAAAATGAATTCTGTTCTTTATTAGCAAATGCATTTCCTATTCCTATCTCTTTTTGTGGAAACCTTGCTAGCATTTGGCACAAAATAAGACCCTGACTGCTCTTTAAACATTCAATGTTACAGCTATTATAAAAGACGATAATTACTTGCCGAGTTATTAATAAATATGAATAGTGTAAATAATTTTAGACAGCGCCTGGAGAAAACTAATCATCCATCGACATGTAAGATGTACTTTTATCAAACAAAGTGGAGTAGACAAATATATTATACAATAATTATTGTAATTAAACCATGCCAATTTTTTTTCAAGAAAGTGTGGATAAAATAAAACTACTTATTTAGGATAATTAGTAATTGAGTTTTGTGCCATGAACGAAAAAAAAAGAACTTAAAAACAAGATTTATTTATCTCTTAATAGTAATAATTTTGTTTTAAACCGCCAATCATTACAAAACTTAGTCATGCGCTCTAGGCTGGACTCAAATGCGGAACTAGTGCAGCTTAACAAAAAAAAAATTGTTTTTGGGAACAAAAGATATTAGTAAAAAATATATTCAAATTTGTTTTATTACAAATAAAACCTTGTGAACCTTTCACAGTACCTGCTGCATACATAGGAAATATACATTGCGTTTACATTTACCTATAACATAAATTTTATGGGTATGCAGAATTAAGAAAATGCAAAAAAATTATCATGTTGGCAAAAATGACATTAATTCCTAATTTTTGCTATTTATATTTGTGGATGAGCAAAAAGGTTTTTCTAGAAATATTTTTGGTAAAGGAAAAAAACATAATTATGCATGAACATAACCTAGCAAACAAACTGTAATGGAAAATGCCGATGTTATGCAAATCTAGTATAAATAAACATTTATCTAATAATAAATATATGCTAGACGTATATTCACCTTGCCTTGAACTTGAAATTCACTTTTTTCTAGAAGGTACTTTAAAAACAACTTATCGCGTAGAAATTCACTTGGATACACAACACAAAGGCAAATAACGATGATTTAGACTATTATTTGGAGATAATTGTTGTTAATTTTACCTAAAACTGAAAATCAGTTTCGATTTTTAAAGGTCAAAGTTCAAAATTCTACTGAACCCTTTTTTTGGAAAATTCTGGCAGGGTCTCGTCGATAATTTTTGGGAATTCAAAATAGCTTAATAAAATTTTACCTTGGTAATTTCAGCGTGGCTTAAAATAACTTATTTGAAGGGCGTTGAGTTTCTACGCTTCATTATAGGAAACGGACGCGACGCCATCTTGAATTTTCACTTTTGATCTTATTGAACGAAAAAAAATCTGGTAGACCTCCGTTTCAGGGATATATTGTGTCTGACCGAACAAATCACTTTATTTTAAGGCAAAACTGCATTTAGCAACCGTAAGTACATGTAGTTCGTAGGATGCACTGCCAATTTGATAGTGAAACCTATTTGACAGCTAAAAATAGACAAATCAATAAGAAATTTCATTATCACTGCATTTTTTTAATTTCTAACAGGAATCATGTTAATCTGTTATCTCTAAAACATATTGTAATATTATATGTATGCGTTTTGCTGTGTAGAATTAACAAATATGACGTATGACACAGGTCAGCAAATATAACCAATGCGCTGGATATTGATGAGTAGCAATTTGTATTAAATGTTCCTTTTGCTACAATGTTAATGGAATTATGTTACTAATTTCAATAAAATCCAAATACTGGAGGGGTCACAAAAATGGTGTATTTTTTCTAATTTTTTGTGAGCTTTGGTGCACTAGATATTATTTCTTTTATTTTTAATCTAAAAATCCAAAATACTGTTAATATTAAATTTCAATTGTCTTTTATTTGGGAGATTCTAAACAAAAAATTGTCGGGTTGTATTTAAGATGCCAAGTTCAAATATAAGTATATCAACATTTTCAGATGCTTTAAATGCCTATGAAGATAATAAAATAATAATTTAAACTAATTATTAAAAGTGCATAATAATTTTATATACAATTTAGTTACAAGTATTGCATGCAGTATATTTACATTTTAAAAATTGTCTACACCACAAGACCATTTTAAAACATTTTATTTCAACTTTTATTCCAATTTAACTGATTACATCTACTCTTTTACGAAAATTTAGATGTATAAGTGGCCTATCTTACCCTACATACCACAAAATCGTTTCGGCTCGAAAAGTTAGGTTATAGTGAAGATACTTGCATACACTTTGCATAAGAAAATGTTAAGCTGTAATACTTCTGCATTAAAAACAACAAACATTTTAGTTATTGCAATTAATTGCCTAAAGCAAGTAATAGAAATATGTGTATACTCGTATACTGATAGGTATATGTAGCACATATGTTATAGAAATTTGAAGTGTTTATTAAAGATATAAATATAAATTTTAAAACATAAAACATGCAAATAATATTATAAATTTAAAAGTATGAACTGAAATATAAATTCTAAGGTAAGGTAAGGTATTAGGTATATATATCTATATTTATATTAAGTGTTTAAATGTTTAAATGTAAAAAAAAGATAAACGGAATATTACGTACAAGAAAATGTAATTATGCGATGCACACACTTAAAATATGTTAAAAAATTTTAATTGTACACTTCATGCACTTGAGAAGAAAACAATATTTTATAATGTTGGAAATATTTGATGCTAACCCTTTGTTTTTCACCTTTGAAGATATTTTATCAAAGAAAATAATAATAGAAGTGAAAAATGTATTAATTAAATATTAGAATTTAAATATATTAAAATGAATAAAAAATAACATTGCCACTTTTACGTTTAGCTGACTTGCTGCAACTGGAAAATGAATTAGGAAACTTCACAAACAGTTTTACCTTTGTCGGCATAATTTGTTTCGAAATCAACGCACCAGAAAGAAATTAAACATTTTTTAAGTTTTAATTTCAAATTTTGTACGTACATCTAATTGCCAAATTGACTATTACAATACACAAAAAATAGTTTACGCTTTATAATTTACTCTTTCATCGCGACTTGGTCGCCTCGAAGGCGTTTCGAACCAAGACCTTAAATACGCATGTTACGCACCTTAGAAGCGTTTTGGCGGGATCGCGCGGAAATGCAACCGACGCTCAAACTGATGCCGTCCCGACGCCGACCTAGCACAACACTCTCTGCCGTGAGCTTGTGCAATAGTGCATCTACTTCGTTCGGAGTATCTTGGCTATTGCGCCCAAACGACTGATAACAACGCTAACTATTTGATAAAATTGCTAAATGCGCAATTAGTTTTTTAACCAGCCATTCCCAATCTGCAATATTTTTATTTTGCACCTCTAATTAATAATGCGAATAAAATATGCGAAAATTCGCCACTCGAAATAAATTACTTTTTCACAAACAACAAATTGTTCTAAAAATTAATAAATAATTATATTTTTTCTTATTTCACACTAGAAGCCATAAAAGAGAATTAGTATAAAATACATAATCAAAATTCAGCCAAAATGTTTAAAATATTCTAAAATTTATTTCCATATATTTTATCATTTAATGATAATATGTACTAATATGATTAATTAGCTTTATTTAAGAATATAGATGACCTAATAACAAAATATAATTGGGTATAACATATTATAAGGCATCGGAAACTTTGTGGCGACAATAAAATAAATAACCTAAATATTATGCTAAGCGGCAATATGCGTTGTAATAGCAGAAATAGCCTAAGTCAAGCCATGTGCCGCTCTATACTCACAATACACAATGCTACTGACTGCCATAAAAACACGTACCATACACTCGACCAAGTAATGCGTCAAACTCACTCACAAAAGTACAGACAACAATGGCCAATGGTCAACGTCCCTCCGCAAAAAACCTGGATTGTTCACCGAAACATAAGGCTAGATACATATCGAATAAATTGATCGATGCGAATCATCAGATCAGAGAGAAACATGTACATAATGTGGAATAATGACGTGGATAGTGGAATTACATGTGTACTTCGTTGATGCTTCGCCACCATTAGTAAAAATAAATCTATTGAAAACTTCGATATATTTAGATATTTTAGATATTCTTACGTGTCATACCTATATATTTTATGGTAAGTTCCGTGTGAATCGTTTAGTGTAGAAAAATAGACATTAACCTTTTTGGATATTATTATGCAAATATGTATTCTTATAATATAAGGAGTGCAGTTATAAGAAGGCAACGGTTGTGTCACTTTTTGTTTTAATAAAATCGTATAAAAGGGAGCCCCGCCTACAGCCAATCCTGTAATGTGGTACATGGTTGGCCTAATATTTCCTATCTCTACTTATTGTCAATTAAATCAATCAAATAGAAAACATATGAAATAAAGATCAAAACTGAATCACATTTTTATCACTAAACCCTCATTTTTCTTTTATAGACAAACCTCTTTATATAGGAAAATTTATACTAGTAAAAAGCTGATAGTTGAAAAAAAAGAGAAATAAATAAATAATATCTGTCTTCAAAAGAATATCTGACTTGAATCAAGAAAATGTTTCATATAGGTAAACATTATTTATCTTCTTCGCAAATATTACATTCATTTAAGAAATTAAATTTTGCCTTCCAGTATTTTTTGGTAAAATAAAATTAAAAAGACATAACAAAATTGTATATTGCAATTATTATTTCTTAAAAACGCGTCTAATCTACAAGGAGCAAGAAATTTGGAATGTTTCGCTAGCAACAAAATAGCTTGACCTTAGAAATCGCTTGGACAGCTATTTTAATAAAGCTACTGCAAATAATATTTTAGTGAGTGAATTTCAAACAAAACATCAAAATAGAACCTCTACGATTTATAGATTTGTTGTTCAACCGTGACTAAAACACAAATCTAATTTTCAAATCTCTATCAAACGCAAAAAACTGTGGTTACACTTAATTGAACAATAAAACTAAGTAATTATATAAAATATGCACTTATTGTAACTGATTTTTTAGGTAAATATAGTAATTTATTTCCGTAAACAGTTTTTTCTGCTTGTCCGGATTTTGTGTACAGTGCATATCTTAAAAAATATATTTTATCGCAACAAGATTCACATGTAAAATTCCTTAATGATCATGTAACTTTTGCCAAAGTTCCATCAAAACAAAATAAAAGTGAAACTGCACAAAATCAATATCGGGTCAACGTACTCCATGCTGCGTTCTAGCAGGAAAGTCCGGGACCCCTGGAAAACCTATCCTGAGTTCCACTGCAAGTAATTTTGGTTCAAAATTTTCACGAAGCGATCAATAATTTATAAATTGCAACAGCATCCAATTAAACATAAAGATAAATTCACAACGATAAGAAAAATAAGAAAGGATCAGTTAAGAAATTTGAGAAACAAAGGTGACGATATTGTTCAAGATTTATCAGGAATATACCAAAAGAATAAAAAAAATTTAAATAAATACGTTTTAGTTGATGACGTTGATGAATAACTGTGACATTTAGGTATAAGCAATGTGTAACAAATTTGTATTCTAGTTTAGCGATGATAGCGTTAATCAAATTCTGTGACCTTTTGCAGTACTACATCGGAATGAAAATGATGAAATATTTGCAACATAACGGAAACAGAGAACGATCGATTCATAGTTTCTAGAAAGACAGGTAAGAAATCTAATTTCCAAGTAGAAAAAAACATATTAATAATTTTAATTTTACATTTATGCAGTTTGTAACTTTAAGTAAGGGTTAGTTTTTTAGAGGTAATAGTACGTGTCTTCCAGAATAGTAATTTGAAACTATTATTTTTTAATAAAAAAAATCGTGAATAAATATTTAGTATCCTTTAGTTTGAAAAATGATCCTGTATTTTAATTTTGCTATTAAACAAACATGTTTAGCTTAAATCTCCAAAAAACTGTAATTACTGTTATGAAAATACAAAAACATTAATCTTTTGCTCTTGAAAAGTTTATAATTTTTAAGCAAATAACCTTTTTCATATACTTTCCTTAATAATAAAATATTATAGATAAATTTTACTTTACACAAAAATGAAAAATTTAGTAAAGTTTTTAATTCTTGCCTGGTATATCGTCCAATAAAAGGAAAGCATTCTTGATTTCCGCAAAGAGACAAAAAAATAGCTGTTTAATATAAAAATGACTGTTTTAAATTTAAAATATCACTCTTTCTTTTAAATAAATTTCAAGATTAAGACATTAATTTTTTGTGGCACTTAAATTGGTGTATTTTTCCAGATTTGGAAACGCATCGTAGTCATGCCCCATGACCTAATGTAGGCATATTTGGAAAATTTTTCTCCAGGATTTATATGAATGGAAAAGCATCCCTTATTGTTGGTAAACAAACAAAAAGTCGAGGGTTGACTGAA